AAGTGCGACAATTTAATTCCCGGAATTGCAGCAGCATACTGTTAGCTGCAAGCGTCTTACTCATACGGTCTCATCCTGAAGGTCTCTGACTCGAAACCCGGCCGGACACAGAATGTTCTGAGAAATGTCACTCTTTTCCTCAGTCTTGAGTTAGATTTATGAGTGATTTTAAATAGATGAATCAAAGTAACTTCCGACCCAACACAAGTCGTGTAGCCGAAGGGCTCTCAAGTAAACCAGTTATCAGGATTCGCGTACATGTCAAGGAGCATAACATACTCTGAATGCTGAAGATGGAGACTGTACATTGCTCCGAAACGTCGGTAACGATATATCAGTCTACGCGGCGTGACATTCCGGAAGACAGTAATCACTGAAACCCGGGAACCCGGGGAGTTCCCATTGCATTTGCATAACTCGTGTTTTGAGATTGTCGTCTCAAGGACAACAAACGAATTCGTATTTCAACTGTGGCCCTGGAGTCGACTCAGCCTCTAACAGAAATGAGTACCAGGAATCTTCCTGGGGGTAAAGGGCGGCCGACGCATAACACTGACAAAATCACCGCCATCTGTGAACCAATTTTCTAGATAATATGGGAGCCTCGACGTCTCACACCTGTATGAGCCTTCACGGTCTGTTACACGGATAGCTCTACCTTTCATATTTTGGTAGCCATACGTATTAGAAGAGTGACAGCGAGGTTCATATTCTGCACTCAAAACAAATGTATTTACAGTTTTCGTCGGTGGTACAGGGGTACGTGTATGTTGGCCCGCAAGACGTGTTCCCATCCTATTAGCAGTACTGAGCGAGCTTTGCCTGTGAAGTTTGCCTTTTGTTTCTGACAAGAAAAGTTCCTTTTCGGGAAACGCTTAGCGCATGTGTACCCCTTCCGCAGAAGGCAGAACGTGGGTAGAATGCAAAAGATTCTCAAAAAGTCACAATTCTTATTTATGTCTAGACCTCGCCTCACTGGGATATATTTTAAGTAACCGAACCCATTCCCCGACAACGACAGTAACGTAAGATTGAATGCCTGCTCGTGCACCCCCCCACGGTTCGACATTAGCTTCAGCGCAGCTAACCCCAGACTCGTCCCCTGGGGCTACTAGGAAGCCAGTAGCGGGAACCGAAGTGGTAGTTCACGAGCAGCGTGTCTGTGAATTATTTTGCGTTTAACTGTCATCCCAGGAATGCAATATATTTCCGATGGAGATGTATGAGTGAACTGTGGTGAGCAGCTAATAGTCGCTCAGACCGTGAAGAAATGGCCGCCCTCATGATCAGTGGTTCCATTAGCGTATTCACGGAGCCCCTCAGTGAACCACATCCATGCTCAGTCAAATCCGGCCGAAACCCTGTCTTGCAAGATTTAATGCCGTGTAGTCCGGTATAATTTGACCGTTTCGGAGGACCGTATTGGTCCCATCTTCAGGGTTCAAAGAAAAAGTCAAGCAAGCAAAGCTATGAGAATTTCAAATCCAACAAATTTATTACTATCCTAGCATGTGCTCTTGAGTCGTAAGATGTCTCTTCCTGCGAGGTTTGGCATCTAAATTTTATTACACATTTCTCATAAGTTTACAGACAAAAATATTTTTTTCATTTGGATTTTTAATCCATGTAAGGTGGGTCCATTGTCACCATGGCATGGCTCTTCCTCAGGTTGCAGATGGAGGATAGCTGCTTATATGTTGAATAAGCAGTCCTGGACACCGACAAGGGGTGGTCCTCCAACTTGAAGGTTATGCGTGGGGCTAACGACTCCTCATCGTAAGAAATAAGCATGTTACAAACTGTCTGAAATGGCTTTGGGCCTCGACGGATTCTTTGGATAAATGAACTAAGCTTAAGAAAATGAATATGGGATTTGGTGCTTGGAATGTAAGAAGTCTGCGCAAGGCAGCTTCGCTCATGACAGTTGCAAACGAAATATTAAAATATAGGTTAGATTTAGTGGGAGTACAGGAGGTCAAATGGGACAGGGGTGTCGCCAAACCAGCAGGCGAATATACGTTTTTCTCTGGAAAGGGGAATGAGATTCAGGAATTAGGCACAGGTTTTTTTGTACAAAAGACAATCATGTCAGCAGTTGCAAGGGTAACATTTGTTAGTGACAGGATGTCATACATAATACTAAGAGGTGAAAGGTGAAAGCAGGAGGTGAAATATTGTGGTCTGAGATCCATAAACTCATTAATTCTATTTGGAACAAGGAAGAATTATCTGATCAGTGGAAGGAGTCTATTATTGTACCAGTTCACAAACAGGGCAACAAAACTGACTGTAGTAATTATCATGGGATATCGCTGCTATCAACTGAATACAAAATTTTATCTAATATTTCTCTCAAGGTTAAGTCCATATATGAAAGAAATTATTGTGGATCATCAGTGTGGGTTTTGACATAACAGATCAACTAGAGATCAGAGCTTTTGCATTCATCAGATACAGCAGAAAAAATTGGAGTACAATGAGACAGTTCAACAGCTGTTCATAGACTTCAAGAAAGCCTATGATTCAGTTAGGAGGGAAGTATTGTACAGTATTCTGATACAGTTTGAGGTAGCCATGAAAGTAGTTAGTCTTGATTAGAATGTGTTTACACAAAACATATATTAAAGTCTGTATAGGTAAATATTTGTCTGATAATTTTCCTATCCAAAATGGTCTTAAACAAGGAGATGTTTTATTGCAATTGTTTCTCAACTTTGCTTTAGAATATGCCATTAAAATGGTCCAGAAAAACCAAGTGGGACTCAGATGAAATATCACACATCAGCTATTGGGCTATGCTGATTATTTGAATCTACTGGGTGATGATACAAATACCATAAAAAAGGGGAAGCACAATAGATCATTGAAGGTCGCAGTGGGAGGGCCGGTTTCTATGGCTCACCCCTCATATATACCATAAAGAAAACAGAGAAAATTTGACACTAGTAAGGAGTGTGTTTTAGAAGCAAACACAGAGAAAACTAACTATATGTTGCTGTCTCATTTCCACAATGCAGGGCAAAATCATGACATAAAGATAGGTAACAGATGTTTTGAAAATGTGGAAGAGCTCAAATATTTGTGATTGACAGTGACAAATCAAAACTGTATCAGAATAAAATTAAGAAGGGACTGAATTTTGGTAATGCTCACTACCATTCAGTCTAGAAAAAAGGTTCTGTCTTCTCATCTGCTGCCTAAAAACATAAAAATTAGAATATAAAAAACTATAATTTTGCCTGTGTGTGTAAGGGTGTGAAACTTGGTTTTTAACATTAAATGAGGAACATTGGCTAAGGGTGTTTGAGAACAGGGTGCTGAGGAGTATATTTGGACCAATGAGAGATGACGTGATGGGAGGTTGGAGAAAACTGCACAATCTTCATAAGTTGTACTCTTCACCAAGTGTAATTAGATTTATCAAGTCACAGCAGGTTAGGTGGTCACATGCATATTAGATATTGGTGGGAAAGCCAGAAGGAAAGAGACCCCTAGGAAGACAAAGGCGTGTGTGGGAGGATAATATTAAAATTCATTTTAGAGAGATATGATGGGGTGGTATGGACTGGATTGATCTGGCTCTGAATAGGAATCAGTGGAAGACTATTGTGAACACGGCAAAGAACCTAATAATGTTCCCTATAATGTTGGGAAGTTCTTGAGTGGCTGCACAACTGGCGGCTTCTCAAGAAGGGCTCAGCTTCATGAAGTTAGTTTGTTCAATTTCTAATATTAAGGAGGCTAAACGTTGGTCAGTTATTTTTACAGCGGCGAGAGTATCTTAATTAGGTCAAGAATATTTGCTATAGAGATAGTAGGAATGTATCAAAATGATAATTTTGCTTTTAATTTGTTAATATGCTTTACCTGTGCTTGTCGTTCTAAAGAAGTGGATCAATATACCCACTGAGAAGGAGAGACCGGAACTATTCATCGTATGTAGTACGCGAACCTTTAGAAGATGACTGCACTTGTGGGCCACTACGACGACTACGACCCAACGAACGTAGTTGTGTTGGTCTCCGTTTTCGCCACGATGGTTACGTCATTATCACTTGGTGACATAGATTGCTGCGCCATCATTAGAATGTTGCTAGAATGTATTTACGTCATATTTGCGGCATTCTTTCGCGGGCTTCGCGGCTGAGAAATTGAAACCTTTCAGTCACCAGATGGCAGAGGGATGCTTGAAATTGTTCAGCGCTGAATGTACGTAGCGGGCCGTTTCAGGCGCTAGGAGGGGCCAGGCCGAGTGGTGGGAGTGTTCTAGTAATGGAATTTTGCGGGAAAGACGTGGGAAGGCTTAAATATTAGGTACTAACATAAACAGCCGGATGTGTTTTTAAAACTGTGGTTACTTAGAATATCTGTCTTTCACGTGAGTTTCTTCATATGATTAGTTCCATGTAAGGCAGTGTGTGACAATAGTAATTACATTAATGTACTGGTAATTTCGTGAAGGTTATTACTATATTAGCTCTTACTATAGAAACGAAAGGAAATGGGACAACCTGTTCAACACGACTGTTTACATTACGGTTTTATGGGGTATAATACCGTCTATTGTGAAGTATGGCTACCAACTCGAACATGTTTCTTTTTTCCACAAGGTTGACCCTAGGCATGACACATCTTCCATAGATTTATTCCAGGTGTTAGGCCACCATATTGCAACAATCAATTCCCCGGGTGTGAAAACTGCAAGGGGAAGAAGAACGGCATGAAGAAACTCAAACGTAGCAACGATCTTGTTAACACTGAATTTTATAAACAGAAACACCAATGGTTTTCCGCAGTTACGCATGCGGTCATACAATCCATTTTCGGCACTCATGAAGCAGATGAAATGTTGCAAATTGATCGGACAATCTGAAATTTTCTCTGCTCTCATTGCAGTGTGTTCACAACGCAACCATATAAGGCGAAGGAAGGTGTTGTCCATATATAGACATGCTTGACGGAGGTGGGGAGGCATGAAACGTGTTACATTTCTTTTGTACAGCTGGCACTACAAGCATCCAGCTCTGTGTAATGTTAAAACAAACTGTTTGTGAAGAGTAAAACTACTCGCTATTTATTATAATGACTGAAAACGAATAGTTTACAAGTACGGAATATGTGATATGCGATTTTTGTCACATAAAATATGTTAGTACAGTGACCCCATTTCTATATTCACAGAGTGCAGCACTTAATCTCCGGGTGTGGTGTTGTCTGAGTCACAATATATGGAACGGTTTGTTACGTTGTGATAAAATTTTAAGTTCTCAGGTAAAAAGTTGCGTTTATTTATAACAGTAAATTCACATAATATCTCATATACTGCGTATATAGATTACATTCATGTAGTAGATTATATTTGTTCGTGGTAGAATACTGGATGCAGTATTAGTGGGTGTGATTGTAACGAATTGCGATGGTTGGCTTAAGGTAAAAACGTACGGAAAGTGGATCTTTATTACACTTGAAGTGGTATTGTGAAGTCCTAGTGCTGGTAGGGTGACACAGAATCTTATGCACGTTGTGTATAATATGTGGTTGGTAGATGTAATAGGATATGGACCACTAATTTTGTCTCACGTTCAGTGGATGAAATGATGACAGATGCGAGTGTATTTTTATTTTTACAGTATGATTATACAGCCACAGTATGAGCTAGGGAAACAATTTAGAACAAAGAATTTAAAATACAGATTGCAGTGTTCATAGATTATGATGTAAGCGACATTAGAACTGGATGAAAAATCTGTGTAGAACTGTTGTTTATGCCTCACATACATGTCAAGAATAATGATGAATTTGCTATATAAAGTGATATTCACATTAATTTATTTTTGTATTATGTAATTACCAGTGTATTGTCTGTAATTATGCTTGTTTGTGTCGTGTACCCAAGTTGCTAGTTGTTGCATTGTTAGTATATGGAAATAATTTACATAGAATGTAGAGTAGTTTTGTAGTAAACTGGGAGCGCAATCACTGATAATGAAAATTACCCTGATGTTCCAAAAGGTGTGAACTGTGATATTTGTTATTCACTGTAGAAACACGAAATGGCATCTCGGAAGACAACCAGTCGCCGCACTACCACCAAGAAACGTGCGCAGCGTGCCACCTCCAATGTGTTTGCAATGTTTGATCAGGCTCAGATACAGGAATTTAAGGAAGCTTTTAATATGATAGATCAGAACAGAGATGGATTTGTGGACAAGGAAGATCTGCATGATATGTTGGCATCTCTGGGTAAGTAGTTCTGTATGTGGCAGCAGCCCTTGCAGAGGCCCCCCCCCCCACATGTATGTGACAAGGAAACATTGTGATCCTGGTATTCTTGGATGTGATGCTGTGTAGTATCTGCCTCAGTGAGAACTTCACAGTTCATCTAAGTATTATTTAGATATCAAAAATTCAGTTCCTACTTTACAGAAAGCACACTGCAATTCCAGAACTCAAAGCATGTGGGACATACAGTTGCCTCAGTCCTTTAAATGGTTAATTTAGTGTATTAGGTCTGGTTCCACAAGGAAGACCAAGGCGTAGGTGGGTGGACAATGTTAGAATGGATCTTCGAGAGACAGGATGGGATGGTATGGATTGGATCAGATTGGATTGATCTGGCTCAGGATAGGGACCAGTGGAGGGCTCTTGTGAACATGGTAATGAACCTTCGGGTTCCATAAAATGCTGGGAAATTCTTGAATAGCTGCAGAATTTGCGGCTCCTCCAGAAGGGCTCAGCTCAATGAGTAAGTATGTAAGGTCTGGTTATTCACAACTTTCGAGACAAGATTTGTATCTATTTACAGTTTGTCATATCTGTGTGTTTTTTTTTCTGCCCCTCCAGGAAAGAACCCAACAGACGAATATTTGGAGGGGATGATGAACGAAGCGCCAGGCCCTATCAACTTCACCATGTTCCTTACGCTTTTTGGGGAGCGACTGCAAGGCACTGATCCTGAGGATGTCATCAAAAATGCTTTTGGTTGCTTTGACGAAGAAAATAAAGGCGTGATCAATGAGGAGAGATTGCGAGAGCTACTGACATCCATGGGTGACAGATTCACTGATGAGGAGGTGTGATATATATATATATATATATATATTATTGAGAAATTTTGCTGTAGTTTGTCATTTCAGCAGCTCCAGAAGAGCCTGTGTTGACATAAGTACCTGTCACCACTTGAAAGTATTGTCACATGTTTAGGAGGGACTTTAGATGGGGTTTGGGTTGGTGGCTCGATTTATTGACAACTTGGAGCTACAAGTAATTACGCTGATCTCCACATTTTACAAATCCCTGCATGCTAAGTGTGTCTCCAGCATATGTTCTTCAGCAACAGCTTCTAATGGTAAATTCTTCAGTTTCCTGCACTCGTGTCGTTACTGTCTGGCAGGTATCCAGCAACTGAACTCAGTACTTCAAACTGTCTTGTTAATAACATCTTGGTGCAGGTGGCATAGAAAATACCCTGTTTCTGTTGTTGTTGTCCAGCTGTTGCAGCTGCTTAGCAACTGGAATATATTAACTAAACCACTGTCCAGAAACAGCCTCGTATATTAGCCTATCCATTGGTCGTTGCATAGCAATGGCTGTAGATACTGTAGCATAATTTCCAGCTTGTAATACAGTATGCTATAATACCCATGAGATGTGCTTATAAAGTAAAGCTATCCCTGTAACTGGCCGAGGTGGCCCATAGGGTTCTGAGACATTGAGGTTCCCACATTTTCTAGACAGCTTACAGATGACGAGGTTGTCAGCCTTACACGCCGACAGCGCTTTACTCCCCAGGAAAATTATTGAATTAATTCTTGGTACTCACATCTGTTAGAAACTGAGCAGGTGTACTGTTAGTAGCTCTGCGATTACGAATGGTATGAGGAAGTGGAGGGCAAAGAATCGTGTTAGTGTGGCGTTGTCTACTGCGAACCCGCCCCATACTCATTGAACTAGGGTTGGGCCGACGTAAGGGACTGCTGATAGTGGGTTTGTAATTACTGTTGCTCCCCAAGAGGATGTTTGTCCTTGTAGTGCATATCCTAGAAAGGCCGTTGCTATTGTTGCGAATAGAATTAGCACTCTGATTGATCAGGTGTGGACTAGCTTATGTGATCCGTAGTATTTGTTTCGTCCGATGTGTAGGTAGATGCAGATGAATATTGATGCCCCGTTGGCGTGCATGGTTCATAGGATTCAACCATAGTTTACATCTCGACAAATGTGTGCTACTCTGTGTTGGGGCAGTAGTGTATGGCGAGGAATAGCCCTGTGGCAATTTGTGCGACTAGGCAGACCCCTAGTAGGGAGCCGAAGTTTGATCATGTTCTAATGTTGGTTGAAGTAGGTAGGTCGAATAACGCTCCGTTGGCTATTTTGATTAGTGGGTGGGTTGTTCGTATGGGTTTGTTCATTTTACTTCTCTCGTCATAGGGGCCTTTGGTACATGAGTAATTTTTAGTGCTGCAATTAGTGTTATTAGTAGGTATAGGGCCATTAAGATGGTTATGGCTCCTCTTGGTTGGTTATATAGTTTTCTTGTTATTAGTACGACTTTGTTTCTTGTTGTGTTGTGTGTTGTTGAGTCTCCACCTTATTGTGGTGAGGGGGTTTGAGTATGCCAAAGACCCTGAGAGCTATACCAGCGGTAGCATAGCTTCTTCTCGGTTACAGTTTAGTGTGCAGTGTGGTATGTCATAGTGTACTGTAATTTAGAGCAAGGGTCTCCAAACTATGGCCCACGAAAGAATTGTGCAGAAATGCACTAATTGAACTAATTTTCCAGTGAGTACTCGTAAATGTGATTCCGAGCTTATTGACCTGACATATTATACTGCAGTTCGATGGCTTAGGTACTTTGCGCTTCTTTCAGCTCAGGAATGAAATTGATATACAGTAAAACTTGGTTATAGCAACACCGGTTTCTGCGACACCTTGTATATTGCATCAAATATTCAATGGTACGAACTAATTCCTCATAAAGCAACTCTTTTTATACCTTGCTTAGTACGACATGCACAAATGTGTCAATCTTGTATGTAACGTCATTTTCATTCCTGAATTTCTCTGATATCGTGGGAAAGTTCGATATGTCTGCCCACCCTCACTTTCTCTACTTGCTGACGTGAATGTCCTGGAAGAATACGACCGCTGGTTGCAAGAGGAGCGTGGGTTTTATGCGAAAACAAGGGTATGGGGTGGGACTGTGTGAATAGTGCAAGAGGACCCGGCAGGTTGTTAACTGCATTCCTTTCCTAGAATCTCGTCTAACAGGACCTCACATTGTCTACTTACCCTATAGTGTTCCTGCCTAAACCCAGAGAAGTGCAGTAGCGAAAACATGGCAATGAAAAGGAAAGTTTTAAGCATTG